TTCATTCCCCCCCTCATTTTTTCTCTCTTAAACGTAATTTTAAGGAATATGTAAACCCCTGAAAACTTGGGCTAGGAAGGACTAGAAAAATAAATATTTCTACGTCACTTAGTCTAAATGTTAAGACCAAAGGTTTATCGATATTTAATTGCCACTCCTGTATGCCGAGTCCATTAGCGCCTGATCCAATCAGTGTTCAGCCATGTGTTTGGTGTCTATTCTGAACCAATAGAAATTGCATAGCGGTAACATCTTTCTATCTATCTCATTATCCAATTAGAGATAAATCCTCATATCGGCGCTATAACAGTAAATTATTTACTTCTACTGAAACTGTGGATTACGGATATATGTAATAATTATACATAAATCATACATTAAATGAAGGCAAAAGAATGCAAATTCATGCATAATATACATAAAATAATCAGACACGGCTGTTTAAAAGTCTGATCACGTCAAACTAAAGTATATTGCACGCTAGATGGAAATCATAACTTCTCTTCTTATTGCAGAGCAATTGATAGGAACAAAAATGTTTTGAATTTCCAATATGAATTCGGATAAATTTGATTTTCTTAAACTAGAAGAGCTTTAAAAGCGCAAAGTTGCATTAGTAGTGTCACTCAAATTTGACCTTCTCTTCTGTCTACTTTGCAGTTGTAATGTTTCCATTTACTGATAGCGCCGATTGAAGGATTTATAACTCTAATTAGATAATGAGATAGATAGAAAGATAGATGTTACCGCCAAACTATTTCTATTGGTTCAGAATAGACAACAAACACATGACTGAACACTGATGGAACAGGCGCTAGTGGCATTATAGAGTGTTGTAATACTTATAGAGAAGATAAACTTCAAATGNGTACACACATACATACATAGGTAATACACAGATACATACATAGGTAGTACACAGATACATAGGTAGTACACAGATACATACATAGGTAGTACACAGATACATACATAGGTAGTACACAGATACATACATAGGTAGTACACACATACATACATAAGTAGGACACACATACATACATAGGTAGTACACAGATACATAGGTAGTACACAGATACATACATAGGTAGTACATACAGACCACACACATAGGTAGTACACAGATACATACATAGGTAGTACACACATACATACATAGGTAGTACACAGATACATACATAGGTAGTACACACAAATATACAGTGGTAGTACACAGATACATACATAGGTAGTACACACATACATACATAGGTAGTACACACATACATACATAGGCAGTACACACATACATAGGTAGTACACACAAATATGCATAGGTAGTTCACACAAATATACATAGGAAGTACACACATACATAGGTAGTACACACAAATATACATAGGTAGTACAAACAGACATACATAGTACACATAAACATACATAGGCAGTACACACATACAGAGGTAGTACACACAAATATTCATAGGTAGTACACACAAATATACATAGGTAGTACACACAAANGATAATAAATTTGAAATTTATTCTATACTGTACACCTCTAGATAGGTTTGTATATGGATGTATATGGTTTGATAGAATGCAAACTACATAATCAAATATACATCAGTGTTCTTGTTAGCAGACTATAGACAATACACATCTATCTATCTATATTTATATTTATATTTATTTGTTTATCTATCTATCTTTCTGTCTTTCTATCTGTTCATCTATACATGATCTATTCATCTGTCTATTTGTTTATCTATCTATTTAGAGATCTATAAATCTTTTTGTCTTTCTATCTATCTTTCTATCTATCGATCTATTCATCTGTCTATTTGTGTGTCTTATCTATTTAGAGATCCATTTTTCTATTTATCGGAATATATTTATAACAACAGAGGTCGAATTTAAAGAATTTGAGCGCGGCTTAATTTTAAGCCGCCGTTCAAATATGGTTGATTTCACTTGAAATTGTATTTAATGTTTCAAGATGTAAGCCAGTGCTTAATTGAAACCGGTTTTTGGTGGATTTAAGACGCGGCTCAAATTCATTAAATTCGGACACTGCTCTATCTGTTAAGTTTCAACTTCTTTTAGGTGTATTAGAAGATTGGTCCTTGGAAAATCTGGGTTCGGACTTTTTCTCTCAAATTTAAAACATCTCGATGGAAAGTAGTTCCATTCTTCTCTAGCTTTTTAACACCTCTCCCCCCCCCACACATTCGGACTATATTTATAACAACTGCTGCTCTATCTGTTATGTTTCAACTTTTTTATTAATATTAGAAGATTGGTCCTGGGAATAATCTGGGTTGGGACTTTTTATCTAACACCTGTCCCCCCCCCACACATTCAGTCCTCCCACACTCGTTGATGAATTGGTTAAGTTTGCAAAATCATGAATTTTGCAAACCATTTTCTATCTATCTATCTATTCTATATATCTATATATCTATCTATCTATCTATCTATCTATCTATCTATCTATCCATCTATCTATCCATCTATCTATCCATCTATCTATCTATCTATGTTAGTGTTGAGCACCTTCTGACCAATATAGACCTGGATGATATATTAACAATAGTTTCTTCTTCTAACAATATGCATTCATGGATGTTATTCTAATTTTAACCCTTTTTTCCACAGAGCTCCAGACTACTTTGACAAGTTTCAGGACTGTGTTTTCAGTGTCGCAACGCATTGGTCCTTGAATTGACCTTAATGAATTACTTATACTTTTTTTGTAACAATTTTAGAACTCTAAAGCATTTGTATTTAAAAGTATTTGGCATTTGAGAGCTTGCAACATTTGCAACCTTTGAATTACTGTGCTGTAGTCCTTTCTCCTCATAAACCCTTTCTCATCTTCCCCTCTTTCTCTTTCTTAATCTTTCCCATCTTTCCACATATTCCAAACATTCCCTGTTCCCCCCTTCTGCATTCCCTCCTTCCCTCTTTCCCTCTTTCCCCTTTTCCTTTGGTTTATTCCTATCCTATTCCCCCCATTTTCGCCGTTTTTTTCCCGCGGTTTATTTTTTCCATCCTTCCATCTGCACACCTACAGGTTTGTCTAATTTTGTTGAAAATTGCATCTTCAAGAATTTACCGCTTATTTTTCTCTTTGCTAAAAAAGATTTTTTTTTAGATTCGCACTATTTGCAAAGTTTAAGAACTTGGTAAAAGCAATCATGATAAGATTTGTTTTTAAGCAACTTGGC